CAATCAACCACCGTGTGCCATTCAGCATTTTATCCGCGACACTTAATACCACTGAACGGGTGTCTATGAGCAATCGTACTGCAGCCCCAAACCCCGAAAAAAGAAACAAAAATTGCCCCTAAGCTAAGAGAAGTTCCTTGTGAAAGACTGGGAGCCGACGAACTATTACAGCACAACTCTACGGTATGTAGCTTAAAGGCAGTTGGCACGATGGTTTCCTACTTAGCCTAAAATGCTAGTAGGGCGCTATATAGGGGAAATGGCGAAAGAACGGAGTGAAACGGTCAAAATCCTGCGAAGAAAAAGCCTCCGTTCTCAGTGACTTGAAAATCGATTTCGGACGAGTTTCCCGTAGGCATCTTGCCAATCACCGTTTCATGCAGCATCGCGGCCGCTTCATACCCATCCTTTCGCTAATTTGCTTAGAAATGAATCAGTATCAGTGTCAGGAACGGTCGTCCATTCGTGGGTGAGCGGGCGCGGTGGGCGTTCGGGTCGGTATGTTGCAGCTTGATAGGGCCTTATAAAAGCACCTTCCTCAAGGAATCGCTATGCAGCGCCTGCCCAGGGTCGCGGAATTCTATCCTGCCAGGAGTATTGATCCTAGTCGTCTTGCGGGATTTATCGTGCCAACTAATGTCAAAATCATGACTAATCACTGACAGAGTTCACACACGGTACAGCATCGTGGAGTGTGTAATGATGGTGTCACTACGACTCCCTCCCTCAAGGGAATGTGTCAGTACGACCTCCCCCCTCCTGGCTCCCTGCTCATCATCGCCCCTCCTGGCTCCCTGCTCATCATCGACTTTTCGAGCGGGATACGACCCGCCCCTCTCTACCATTTTCTCAGATTTCCCTCGAATTCCTACCGTTTTTCCGAAATTTACCAAAAATTTTCCTACTTTTGTCCAAAAATTTTGCTGTCGAGCGGCTCCAACGCAGCAAACTTCTCTGAGCCACGTACGACCCTCCCTCTTATCTCCCAACAACGACCAGATACGACTCTCTCTCTCCCCCCTCCCCAGCGGAAAAGTACGACCCCCCCCCATGTCTTGAGTTATACGACTATGCTCACGAGAAAAATGGCGCCTGCGCAGTTGAGGAAGGAGCAGCAGGCGGCGGCGCGACAAACTGCTCGTCTGTGTCCTCCTACAGATGCAGTGATTCCTTCATCCCAGCCTCAACCTCATAAAAGCGAAAGAATTTAACATTCCGTGCTATGTTAACTGAGAGTAATGACAACGGCCTTCCCGATAATCACTACGATCATTCATTTCCGAAGCTTTGATGAGAGTTTCCCTGACGTCGATTTTGACTCATTCGATGGAAATTGGAGAACATTAGCAAAGGTTGCAGTCAGTTTGGCTATGCTTGGTAGTGAGCAGAGGTTACAGTATTGCCGCTGGCTCCGTGTATTGTCACGCCGAATGTGAAAACAAATGGTTCTGTTGCGGATCCTGCACCCATGTGATTCGAATGACCAAAATTCGTTCAAAAAACTTGGAGTTTTTGCTTGGATTTTTTTGCGGCGAATGCTATAAAACTACGATCGTGATCACAGGTGCCCCGTTAACTTCCAGCTGTCACTGTTCAGATAACAGTGGATTTCTTTATGATTAGACAAAACCCACTGCCGCCAGTTTTTAAATGTTTGAAATGCTAAATCTGCAAGCTGCATGCTTGTCTAGAAGAGCTTTAGGCATTGTTCACACTCTGAGACCCTGACGAAGCGCCGGTTTGGTGAAAGCAAAAAAATACTTATTGATCGGAGAATCGCCAACCGCCCCGTTCGACGAACCGCCGCGGTTCAGCGGTTGGGCGAAAAGCAATAGATACGTATCGATTTCGCAGGCTCCGCCCTAGAGAAAAACGCCAGGGTGGTCTAGCGTTTCTCACCCAACCGCTTCGCCGAACCGCCCGTCAATACGTATCAAAACCGTTTCGCACAACTACCAGACTGTGCGGTGCTAACGTATTTGGGGGGGGGGGGACCACGCGGCGCGCGGCGAGCGATGACTCATCTGCTCTTCTGCTCCCTACTCGGCAAAATAGAGGTAATTTCATGTTTAGGACATGAATATAACACCGCCCTAAGGTGCTATATTCAAAAGGTAAAACAGTTAATGCTGAAAAGTGCGAAGAAACAATAGTAGGCTGGAAGATTCTTGCCTTAACTACAAGTGAAGGTTCAGGTGAACTCATTCGTTTGCGTAAAAGTGACACTACTAATAAGATTGGATGGTCCTGCAGAATCCAAAGAGAAATCTACTCCAATAGCTCACTATCAAATCGCAGAAATTGAATCTTGAGCTGTTTCCTCACAACAGAATCACAATTTTACCTCACCAATTCACTTCAGCTTGTTACTCGAAGTCCATTTGTTTTCCGCTTCTGTATGATTTCTCAACAAGTTCCCGGTGAATCTTGTTTGTTTTATTCTGAATAGCTGCTAGATTCGCGCTTCAAGTATGCCGGGAACCATCTGTGGGCTGTTTTGAACATTATCTCGCCGAGAAGAAGCGGAAGAGCAGATGAGTCATCGCTCGCCGCGCGCCGCGTGGTCCCCCCGCCCCCGAATACATTGGCACCGGCTGTGCGCCCAACCGCCAATCTACGTATCGAAAGCTTTTCGCCGAAGCGTTTCTTTCTAGAGACTGGGTCGCAGACTGTGTGCCTTGTCCATCTACTTATATACATCAGTAAACAACAAAAATCTTCGAAAGCGGCTGATTCTCTCGCCAAATGATAGAAGTATCAGCCTATTCTCACGAGGAATCCGGCACTAGCCTAACGAGAAAAAGAAAATGTATGAAATAAAAATTCAAAAGAAATTTGAAGCGATGAAACGTCAGCCGACAATTAGACAGCCATGTGTGCAGGCGAGTATCAACCGTGCAGCCGCTGCGTCCCGTGAAGTCGCTTGCTCCGCCCCTTCACACGCACTATTGCGCGCACCTCAGTAACTCTCATCTGTCACCTCAAGGCTTTGTTGGGGGTGTTCGACAGGAAAGTTATTTCTTGATACCTTGCTTTGGTCATCAACGGAATCACCTTGTGCCTTTAGATCATAGGTCATGACAGCCCTTTTCTAGACTGTTCTAACCTGCTCTGAGCAGCTGACGATTACTTGGAGGTATTCTTCTGTCGCTACTCCTGGGAAACTTCAGGACTCGTTTTCGTGTTTTGGTATTTGGTCCGCGCACAATAAACTCCAAACGCTTCAGGCAAAATGCTGAATCTCCAGAAAAGAATCAATGGTATTGATGACAACAAAAAATACATGGAGACGCGGATCGCCATTCGAGAAAAGCTACTCGCTCAAGGTAAGTATCATGTGGGATCAAACCTGCACTTGAATGAAGCCTGACATGATCTCGTGGTCTGGGTTATTCATTTAAAAATGCGTTAACGTCTTTAGGGGAGGGGGGACTCCCCAGTGCCTCTACGTTTCTTCTACGAGCGAAGCCTCAAAGGAAGTTGGCACGATAAATCCCCCAAGAATAGGATCAATACTCCTGGCAGGATAGAATTCCGCGACCCTGGGCAGGCGCTGCATAGCGGTTTCCCCGAAGGTGCCCTTATAAGGGCCCTATCAAGCCACAACTTTACGTCCCAAACGCCCGCCACGCCCGCCCGCCCACAAATGGACGACCGTTCCTGACGCTCGTATTCATTCATTTGCTAAGCAAATTATGAAGCGAAGGGATTGTATGAAGCGGCAGCAAGATGCCTACGGGAAACTCGTCCGAAATCGATTTACAAGTCACTGAGAACGGAGGCTTTTTCTTCGCAGGATTTTGACCGTTTCACTCCGTTCTTTCGCCATTTCCCCACTATACAGCGCCCTACTAGCATTTTAGGCTAAGTAGGAAACCATCGTGCCAACTGCCTTTGAGCTTAGAGAGCAGACGGTGGCTTTCGCCGCTTGTTACCCTTGCAGAGCAGAAAGCCTCTGCTGAGTGTGACCGTATGCGCTTAGAGCCTGGCAACTGTTTGGACGGAAAGACCCGGTGGAGGTGTGGACTACTGCCCACCTCCTCCTCAAGTTTACGCCTTTAAGAACACTATCCATTAGGTGGATCAAAATCAGCGCCTTATCGCTGGGCAAAGCACAACTGTAAGCTGTAAGCCAACTCTTTTTCAGTGAGAAACTGAGGTTGTGAGGGTGATTGTATGCAGTAAATGTAGTATGTAATCAATTCTGAAAACACGCATTGTTAGTTCCAGTGCGTGTTTTCGGGAAGAAAACGTTCTGTTTTGAGCGTTGCGAGAAGTTGCGAGAATTTCGGCCGCGAATATGCACGTCTTCGAATTCATCCACGGCTTAGACGTAAATCTAGTGCCTATTATCGACCTTGGTTGTCAAATAAAGGTATGCTAGAGCGTAATCCGGGTTTGAGCATCAATTTCCATGCAATTGCAATTAACTGCTGTGCACCTGTCAAAGTTTGGCTGCCACAGAGCTCAGGAAGATGAAAGGTGTGTAGGATGGAACTGATCGTACAAAACGATAAAATTTGGAAGGAGCAGGTCGAACTGACACCACCACTTGACCAGTCGCGATGCTGGGGTCTGTTTGTTATGCCACAAGCATGGTAGAGGATGTCTCTGGAATGTTAATGATCTTTTTTCCAGAAATCAAAGATTTGGAAGTGAATCTGAAGAATCAAAATATGTGCAAGCTCTCCTTTCCGTCAACATCCCAACTTCATGAAATGGTGAGCCGGTCTAATGACTTAGTTGCCTTTTCTCAGCACACAGAATCTAAGATTCAATCAGTACCCTGAGCAGATTGTGGATCGCCATGGCATTGGCACCTCCACCTCTTTTGATTGAGCTAGATATTGATTACTCAGTAACTTGTGATTAAGTTCATTAATAACTGGTTAGATGGAAGCTGAATAAGATTCATCAGTGGTGGTGTGAGTGCTGCTTGGCAAGTCCGAAAGTATTCTGTTTCACTAGCAAAATATCAAACAGTAAATGGCAGTGATCACGGTCCGCAGTCTGTTGAAGGTCCAACTCTTGTTAAATATATCCCTGAAAATTATTGTTCCAGATCCTCACGGTGTGTCCACAAGAAGGTATTTACAGAGGAGGCGTTTTCAAATTTTCAATTTCTGTACCGCCCGAGTACAACAATGTGGTGAGTGCACCCATGTGCTATTTTTTTTGTTGAAGAGCAGCAAAATACAATGTCAGTGAGAGTAAAGGTGTCAAGAAAACGGATAATTTCCAGCCACCAACTGTAAAATGCTTGACGCGGGTCTTCCATCCGAATATCAACGAAGATGGTAGCATTTGTTTGTCGATTCTACGAGAAAACTCTCTGGATGCCTTTGGATGGCGACCGACAAGAAATCTTACTGAGGTAGTTTTTTTCACATCTTTCGTTGCTTGTTCTGCTGCAAACTTCATTTCCTTCTACATAGTGATAGATGAGAACAATTCACGGCTTATACTGAGACGTTGACTGGTGGATAACTTCATAACCTAGAGGGTTCATTCGCCGAGGCAACAAGAATCTTTGCATTCAACCTCCGTTCTTTCTTTTGAATATAGCTGCGTCAAAGCGAAATCGGGGTTGTGGGGCGTATCATTCGTTAAACGTTTCTGGTGACGTTATCATCATTTGTGGGGAAAGAGCGAAGAAAAGCCTGGATGTGTAGGCATTTGCACATTATGCGGTAAGCGTGAGAGAGAGTTCGTGATTTGTTTCAGCGTCCTGATCATCTCTTAGCGTTTTGAATGACCAGGAAAGTGTCCATCGTTTTCATCCGGCTGCGTCTAGCGTATTTAAGTCCACCGGCGTTTTCAGCTACCAGGAAGTATAGGTACCAAGTATCCTTGAAAACCGTGGTGGCTGGATCGATAACTTTACTTACCCAGTCACTGAAAACTGGCGGGTACGCAAAACACTGGTAAGCGCTGGAAACGTTGGTGGATCGATACCTATACCTCTCTAGTCGCTCGGGGAGCTCAAATCGCTACCGTGAACTATGAACTCACTCTAATATCCGGGTCCATGTCTTGGCCATGGCTCAAGCCTAGGTTTAGCGTCTTGCCTATACTTTAGGAATCTCGTGTTAACACGTTGACGACCGCGCGGGTTTTTACTTTTTCGGCCTCGTGGGACACGCGCGCTTTCTCGAACGCCACAAGCGCGGTACGCATACAATTCACGCGGTCCCACGAGGCGCTTTTTTGGAGATTGGATCGGAAAACCTGGTTGAGAGAGCAATTATGAAGTGAGTCAATCATTCACTATGGAAAAAACTAGGCTGGCCAACTCTCGTTGCACTAGGTGCCAGAAATTTGTCTGTAACCAATGTTTTCATAAAAAACACAAGTCGTGCCTTCTACAGGACTCAGAATCCTTCATCTTATATTTTTTATCATTATCAATATGGTATTTATCTGCATTTGTTAGTAAAGTGTTGAAGAGCAAACCAATCCAGAGTTGAGGAGCAAACCAGTCCAAGCAAATGGTGTTCTTTCCCCAAGAAGTCTTTGCTAAACTAGTGTGTACTGAATTATTCCATAGACTACGCATTGTACAAGTATACTAAGGACTGAACTATAGAATGAATAGGAGAAACTAAACAAAAAATCATGCACTAGTGAAAGATATGGATTTGTTGATCGTGATTCGTATTCAATGCACGCGGTCCCACGTGGCCTACAAAGCGTGCATTCAATGCGTATCACGCGGTCGTCAATGTGTTAAACAACTAGTGTCTTGGTCTACTGCAGCCGCAATTTCGTGACTTTCACCGGGTCGGATACCGTAGTTTTTAAACTCTCAAACTCAAAACTCACTGTTTGACAGATTGGTGACTGAAAGCTAAATTATTCCCTTTTCAAGTTCGTTATATTAACAAATAACAAAAATCTCTTCATTACTTGTTTGGCTCTCTCTAGAGCAGCAGTTTCGAAAATCGCGCATCACAACCAGACATGCTATTGCGGAACAATTAAATAACATATTTTTTTGAAAACTTCCACATTTTTGCGTTAGTGACTCTTGACGCTGCGCGTAATAATTACCCGGTTTATAAGGCACATTCTTTCCGACCAAGCATTCGATCGGAAGAAGTGGCGTGACAAAATAAGACGAGCGGACCCCGCTACAGAGCGGGACAAACGCTGAAGAAGAAGAAGAATCGTTCCGGCTCTCCTTGCCTTTGCCTCCTTTTTTTCTTTGTTCCAATCTACGTCAATGATCTTTCTTCTAAAGGAGCGGTCCGCGATGACTTGTGAAAATTCAAAAGGTTCGCAGTGGAAAGTTATTTGGTAAAGGAATTAAGGCGCAAAGTTACTCCAGTGGTACCTCCCTTTCTTCCAGTGACTCCGCCTCCAGACACCGCCTTCCTGCC